ACAAATGGTCTATCAGTTTGCACACAAATGTCGGGCTTCCAAGTTAATCGCCCCCAGATCTGAAGTGGCAGCAATGCAGATATCTAAGCCCCTCCCCCATTCTCACCTCGGTCCCAGTGAAGGAGGTGACAGGATGCTGAGTTCTGAGAACAAGCAGGTTTCCTTCCATCTCCAAAACGATCCCCGAAAATTAGACAAGATCATTTTACTTGTGTTTAAAAACACATTACATTGGTCGAGTCCCTCTTGCTGGCAGAGAGTCAGGTCATTGAGATGCTGATGTTCCCCCAAATGTTCTTTTTCTGTCAAACTACACTCTTGGAGCTCCCCAAATTCATTTTAACTAACTAGCAAACAACAGTATTTTTATCGAGGGCTACAAATAACCCCCAGATGGTGCTCGAAATTGGGGCACCAAGAAGGGCTCCCCTCTTTTCCGCTTTCCAAGCCCCACTTCTCACATCTGCTGCTGGCCCAACCTGCCCTAATTAAGCCCTGAGTCCCCTCCCCCAGATTTAGCTCGGTCCCATTTAACATTCTGTGGTGAGCATTTTCCATCATAAAAGTCTTTGAAAACATTTTCAATGGCTGCATATAGTCCACTGAATGGCTGGGGCTTCATGTAACCATTCCCATGTCATAGAACATCTGAGCTTGGCTTTCAGCTGGATTAGGATGAGAGGAAGCTGCCCCTGGGCCAGCCCGCAGCCTCAGTGCTCCTGGTCTTTCTGGAGAGGAAGTGCGTGGCCCTTCAGACAGGACCTGAGTTCACCTCTCACCCACTCTGCATCCAGGGCACGAGAGAGGAAACCATTCCTGCAAATAGGTCGCTGGTCACTTCAGGCCTGGGTCAGCTGCACTTCCAGCTGATCTCACACCCACCAGACCTCATCACCGGAGGCAGAATTTGCTTCCTCCTCATCACCAAATAGTTGGAAAAGACAACTGTCCACCAGGATTCAGACTCATGGAGAATGTGGGCCGTGCCTGGGCATTGCTGAGCCAACACATTCAAGCCGGCCCCTAGGGCAGTGGTTCTCGAGACGGGGCGCGAGGAGACAATTCTGTCCTGCAGGGGACACGTGGCCTTGCTTGGAGACAGTCTGGGATGTCACAATGGAGGGGGCAGATGCTGTTCGTATGTTATGGGGAGAGGCTAGAAATGCTGCTAAATACCCTGCAACGCACAGACAGGTCCTAACACAGTGAGCTGACCTGGAATGTCCACAGCTCAAGGCTGAGAAACCCAGCAACCCGGTTCTACGGTGAAGCCAGAGTCCCTGCTACACCCTGGCCAGGAACCTGCAGAGCCGAGAGCTGCCCGGTGTGGGGAGGGGGTGCTCCAGAGGCTTGAGTCCAAGACACACCAACACCCGCAGGGTGAAACGAGGGAGAAGGATGGACAGCTTGGGAACCAAGGGCTCACTCTGTGGGGTCGATGGTGGTTTTCCTTGAATGATTAACATCTGAGGTGTCGCCCTTGCCCTCCCTGGGGTCCCTGACTCCAGAGCCAGGTCAAGGCCGACCTCCATGGCAGCTCTGCCAAGGCATCTCCAGGGGTGGCCCTGAGGACGCTGCCTCCCACAGGGAACACCTCCGCCCTCCTCCTGGACCTCCTGCTCACAGCTGTGAAGCGCCACGCTGGGCACACCGCCCTCTCCCGGCTACACTCCCCGTGGCTCCCTCTTACCCACCAAAACACATCTGGACTTTGAGGCAAGCATCCAAGACCCACTGGAATTTTCCTCCACCCCACCTTCCACACCACACCAGCCCCCTCCCACCGTCCTCCTCCCTGTGTCTAACGCCACCGAGCCTGGCACCGGGCACTGACCTCACCCCCACGGGGCACCGACCTCACTCTGCCCGCTCTGGTCTCAGCCCCTCCCAGGGGTGAGCTCCACCTCATGAGTGGGGGCTGGGTTTCCCCACCTCTGAGTTCTGCTGGCACCCCCTGCCCCCACCCAGTGTCAGCATAGGTGTTCACCACATCCTCTGACTGTGACCTGCTGAGACCTGCTGTCACGAAAGCTGGACCGGATGACTGCGCCTCACAGCTGCAAACGCCTGAGCATCAAAACAATGAGACCGGAGGAAACACCCACCCTCCCACCCCCTCCGACCCTACGGGGAGGCCAGGAAAAGCAGTCAGCAAAGGCCGCTGGAGAACCCTGGATGCCCTCTCCTCCTCGTCCGACCTGAACCGTTCCCACCGGCACCAGCCAGGGCTGAGCACGTGGCTTGTCCTTGACACACGTCCCGCGGGGGGGCCGTGCACGGTGCCCAAGTGTGACCCGGCATGAGAGATCACGAGCCCGTGGGAGCCACGGGCACACACTCCGACGCGGAGCTGTAGCGACCTGCGTGTGTGCCCGCAAAAACGAAGAAGGGCGGAAAACAGAAGTTGAGGAGTTTGAAACCTTCAGGTGTGTGTCTGTAACCGCAAGGCAGGCATTTCCGGGCCCCCACGGGCTGCCCCAGAGGAGGCGCCCCCAGAATACTGAGATGCCTACCTAGGAGGCTGCTTTGAAGTCACTGTCCCTAGGGGAGAGCCCGTCACAGGGTGCCTCGTTTCCTTCTCCTACGTCGCTGGTGGGATGTGAAATGCACACAACCCGGCCAAGGGCAAGGTGGCAAAGTTGACCGACGCCACAAGGACTCAGTGGCCCAGCATCTCCTGGGAATTCTGTCTCAGAGCCATCGAGACAAAACGACCCACCCACGGGGGAGTCACGACAGCCTTATCTGTGAAAGCAAAAACCTGGAAACCAGCTAACGTGTGCCAGCGGGGCCTGGTTAAATCCATCACGGGCACCGGGTAATGGAATAAAAGGCTGGGAAAGCGCTTTCCTTGCCCACAGAGAGTGACCGCTGACAGCCGGGAGGAGCCCGCCCGGCGCAGGGTAGCGCGCACAGCTCGTCCACCGGCGGGCCCGCAAAGGGTACTGTCTCTGAAAGGAACAACTGCTCGAATAGCTGCAGACTCTCTGACCTGGACACAGAAAGCCAGGGCCATGGGCTCCAAGGAAGGACAGACACTGGGTGGGTGACACACGGGGTGAGAGGAAGACTCCCCTCGGAGCACTTGGGCGTCTTCTCATCATGTTCCATGTACGCATAATACCTACTAAAAATAATTTGAAACACTAAGGACACATGGGGGTGACACCGTCTGCTTCCTGGTATGTCTCCTTCTCTTCCTCCTCTTGCCTCCCTTCTGCACTCAGCACCCAGTCCCCTCCCCACCCGGTCACGCGAAGGGAGCGGCATAAAAGCAGGGGGAGGGGGCAAGAGTGGCTACGAAGCCGGTCACTCCACGCCTGTGTGCGAACCCGCACTGGCTCTCGTCACAGGCAGAGAACAGAGCCTCCCCCCCTCCCCCCGGGGATCACCAGGAGGATTAAAGCAGATCACTGGTGGGAAGGCCCCAACACTGCGCCCAGCCCGTGGGCGACACCTCCGCGGGCGGCTGACCCAGGGAGGTCTGCCTTCAGCCCGGTCCGGCCCAGCCGAGTTCCTCGGCTTCCCGGGGGGGGGGGGGGCTCCAGGGACCCGCTCTGAACTGCAGGTGCAGAGGCAGCCCTGAAAGCGACTTGCTTCCTCGTGCGCCCACAAGCAGGCGTCCCTGCTGCCTCTCCCCGGGGCTCTGCTCCCACCACCGGGAGAGGGGAACTGGAGGTCCCCGGGCCAGATGTCTGCAAGTCAACACACTGTTCTTGGCTCGCTGCATGTGTCTCGTGATTCCCTGACGCCCCAGACATCCTCGGCAGAGGCTTTGGAAATGCTGCACATGCAAGAGCCACGTCAAAGGTTGCACGTGGGCAAGAGGGAAGCACACATGAAAGGCTTTGTCTCCACCCACCTCCAAGGGAAGTGCCTCAAGGGGGCTGAGAACTCACAGCACAGGGAGGGCAGCTCCCGGGGGGGGGGGGGGCACCAGCGGAGGGCAGGCTCCCTCATGTCCAACCACATCTGCCTTCACTGAGGCCCAGTTCCTGTGCCCTTCAAACCACCAGCAGGCTATGGAGCTACGCTGAGTTCAAATCCTGGCTCCCCTGCTGACTGGCTGTGTGAGCCCGGGCAGAATGCTCAAGCTCTCCCTGCCTCAGTTTCCTCACGTGCAAAATGCAGGTGATCATAATAACTATCCCATAGGGTTACTATAGGACTAAATGGGTAACACATGTGGGCTTGGAACAGAACCTAGCATGGATTTAATGATCCATACATGTTAGTGAATGTTGATAACTACCATCATCATCATCGCCAAGGCCCTCCTCTCTCCTAGCCCCACTGTGTTACACTGCCAGGTATCAGTCCCATCCAGGCTACTGAACCCCACCACAGGGGAGCAGCCCCAAACCCCAGCCTGCTGTCACTGAGGGACATTTTTAGGGCTGCAGTGCCCAGACCATTCTAGAGATCACTGGACTCTCGCCCCACGTCCCCAGATCTCCTTGCTCTTTGGACAGCCTGCTGGTCTCGCCAGCCTCGTTCACAACCCCCCGGTCCAGCCTTTGCAAGCCCCCTCGGCCCTGGCCAACTGTCCCACCCCAGAGCTAAGGCGCATGCAGGGACAATGGCCTTCGGTGCCTCGCCCAGCCCTGCCCAGCTTCACCCACTCCTCAGCCCGGGTGGCTACAGTCCCAGGAGCCAGGACCACGGCCAACACGGTCAGGACACATCGCAGACCCGTCAGCTCTCCCCAAGTCCTGGGCCAGCATCTTGCTTCCAAACCAAGTCAATTAACATCTGACCCTTGTGCCGAGAGCTCACACCGGGAAAGCCACGATCCATTCAGCCTTCACAACCTTCGCTGACCATTCCCCACCAGCCTGGAATCGCCAGCCTCCACGGGCTCCCCGCGGGCGCCTCAGGGATGCCCACTGCGTGGCCTGCTGCTCTGAGAGCCACCGGCGCCTGCAGACCCGCACCGGCCCTGCCCCCTCTCCGAAACCACCGCACACGCCGGGTGCTGGCGGAATCATAACGAGTCTTACTTTCTTGGAACAAAATCCCGAACACGTGTCCACCGTCACGTTGGCCTGCATCAGGGAGTCGGGGAAGGCGTGCGTGATGTTCTCCGGGAGGCCGAAGCACCCACGGTACGTGACGGTCCTCCCTGGGGGAAAGAGATTCCGGTAAGAAGTGGTGCTCATGGTGGCTGGTGTCTGTCACATGGGGAGTGTGGCTTCCGATGCTGACACAGGCGTACAGCCCTCAGGAGGGGCAGACTGCACATCGGAGAAGGCAAACGGCCCTGGACCAGGTGTGGTCGAGCCAAGCTCCTGAGAGAAACCAGGTGCCAGAACCTTGGTCACCCAAGTCACTGACAAGGGGCCACTTGTCTAAAGCTGTTGCCTTTGGGTCCCACTATTCCCACCAGCTCTAGGGGACGGTGTCCATCCACTTACCCTCCCACAAATCCGGATGGTGCACCCATCACGTGCCAGTTTCTGCACGAGGGGATCCGAGAGGCAGACATTCTGGTACAGTCTCCGACTTCCCCGTGAATGTGCAGACAGAAAAGCCGACTTGGAAATCTGAAATCCTGCCTCGCTCCCTCTCGCTGTGCCACTGAGTCGCACCATGTCTCCGCTTCCTCCCCGATCCTGAACTCCCGCCAAATTCTAGGAATACCTCCTAAGCCCGTGCTACCAAGGCCACGTCCTTCTCCAGACCTTCTGGTGGAAAATCCCAGCTCCCTACTTGGTTTCCTTGGTACTGAACAAACCTTCTGGAATGTTCCGCCCCAATTGCTCATATTTCTTCCAGACTCCTCCGTTTCTCTGGATGGCATCCTGATTCTCAGGTCTCCTGAGGCTCAGCGTCTCTCCCTGCTCCCTCCCGTGAGCCACAGCCCTTGACCAGAACAAAGCCCTGGCCAGCAGCACCACGGCGGGAGGTCTGTGCCGAGCAGGATCAACCTGGGCCTGGACGCCCATCTGACCAGGCACAGCACCAGTGGGCTGGACATCAGGACAACACCCGACCTGGGCACACATAAAGGACAGCAGCCTGGTGCCAGGAGCACAGTCTAGCTGAGCATCCTATGGCCTGAGTCCGTCCTGGCCCTGCTGTGATGTGCTCGGAAACCGGTGTGTCATGGCCTAAGACTGTTCCCTCACCTACATCGTGCCGGGCAGCTGGAGCTGTGGTGAGGGGCAACACGCACCCCCAGGCCAGCCCCTAATGTGGCTGCCCTGGCCTTGGGTGGAAGGGCCTGGGGTGATGGCTTGTGCTGGGCCCACAGAATTCCTTCCGGTCCTGGGCATGACTGGGCCCCCGGAGAACAAAATAGCTAGATGGAGCAGGCTGTGCTCCTCAGCCCGCTGCTCTGGGGTGAGACAGACACCACAGCGACAGGCTCCGGGGCACGTGGCAGGGACGGTGAGCAGCTCAGCAGGCACAGGGCCGGGGGTTATGGGCACCTCAGCCAGCTCAAGGTGGCAGGGAGGTACAAACCAGAGCCCCAGCGTCCAGCCCGTGTGGCTCAGGGGTTGAGTGTCAACCCACGCACCAGGAGGTCGACGGCAGGGCACATGCCAGGTTTGGGGCCTGATCCCCAGTGGGGGGCAAGCACGAGGCAGCCAATCCATGTTCTCTCTCATCGATGCTTCTCTCTCTCCTTCTCCTTTCCTCTCTCTCTAAAATCAATCACTCAATAAATAAATATTTATAAAAGAAAACAAAAAACAAACAAACAAAAAACCCCAGAGCTCTGGCCGCTTTGGCTCAGCGGTTAGAGCGTCGACCCGTGGACCAGAGAAACCTGGGTTCAGTCCCCACTAAGGGCACGTACTTTGGTTGCAGTTTGTCCCCGGCCCTGGTTGGGTTGAGTGGGTGGTAACCACTCGATGTGTCCCTTTCACGTCGATGTTTCTCTCTCTCTCTCTCCCTCCCACTCTATCTGAACAAAATAATAAAAAACAGAGCCCCAGGGACGGCTGCATCTGGGCTGCCCCTGTGCTCCCCACACCCAGCCCTGACTCAGACACAGCAGGCGCCCAGTAAGGGCTGGGAAGGTGAGGGAACCACATACAACAGGGCACGTGAGGGCACAGCACACACTGCCATTGCCAGGGCTGCTGGGGTGGCAGCATCAGCTGCCTCTGGGGGTCACTGAGTGACTGGCGGGGAAGAGGCTGTCTGTCATCTACTGCAGTCTATCCACACCCTCCTCCCTTGCTTCCTGAGTGACAGCCCCAGGGCCACTTAGGGCAGAAGGACACCTTCAAGATGAAGTCATTGATGACTTCTGCCCCTACCTCTGATCCCAGTCCAGGGAGCACATTCATTGCTCTGACTCCTTGTGACTGCTCCTTGCTAGAGACAAGCTGAATTTAACATGGGTGGCCACCCGGCCACCTCTTTGCAGAGACCCTGCCAGCTCATCTCCTTGAGAAGGGAGTGGGCAGGCAAAGGTCAACCACTTGGGCTCCTAGCTTGCCCACAAGGGCAGCGAGCACACTGCTTTCAACATTAACCTTGGCATCGGGTCCAGCCAGCTCAAGATCTGAGGCTGCCTTGAATAACTGGGCCATCTCACCCTTAACCAATGGGCAACCTGAAGCAAAGCAATGTCTCCAAGACTCAGTGGCTGAGCAGGCAGGAGGGGCAGCCGGAGCCCACAGATAGACCTGGTCCCGCTGGTGGGCAGATGAGAGGGATCAGGGGCTACTGTTGGAACCCAGGGAAATCAGAGACCCAAGAAGCCAGTCTGGAACACTATGGCCCTCAGGAAGCCCAGGTGACAGAGCAGAACTTGATAGATTCATGCACCACAGCAACCTCTGTGCCAGGACAGGGTCTGGCACAGAGTAGGTGTCAATCACTACCTGCTGAGTTAATGGGCTCATTAGTGAATCCATAAAGAATGTGTTGCCAGGGTTACAACCCTTGTCCCTGTTCCCCCATCTGGAGCCCTTGTGCCCAGATCTATCCTATCTGGCTGTAAGCATGTAAGCGGTCTTAGTTGGCTGGCCCTGAGCACTAAGCCACTCTCCCTGTCACTCTGACCCCACAGGTAGTCACCACGGTTCTCGCAGCCAGGCCTCTGGACTGCGTGGCAAACATCCATTGCTGGGAGAGCTCTCCCGGACACCCCTCTGCAGTCCCAGCTCCTGACCTAACCCCTCTTCCCGAGCTCTGCCCTGTTCTTGAACTAACCCATTCGCCATCCTGGAGTCGTTGCCAGGGTCACGGCCAGACGTGGTTGTGTTCACAAGTCCATGTGCCTGGACACTGGGCTGTACCTCGGTCACCTACTGCCGCACCCTTACCAGTGGTGGGGGGCGGTCTCCCATGCTGACTTCTTCCCAGCCCGGCCCTCCCAATTATGAAAAGAATGGCCCCCCAGATGAGCAAATGTGCTCAACCATATTTATTTTATAAAGGAGTCTTTTTTTTTTTTTTTTAATTTATTTTTTCCATTATTGATATTAGAGAGAGAGGAAGGGAGAGGGAGAGAGAGAAACATCAATGAGAGAGAACATCGACTGGCTGCCTCCTGCATGCCCCCCACTGCAGATTTGGCCCACAACCCGGACATGTGCCCTGACCGGGAATCAAACTGGCGACCTCTTGGTGCATGGGCTGATGCTCATCCATTGAGCCACATGGGCTGGGCTAAAGGAGCCTTTTATAATTAGATTAAGTGGACCTGTGGCTCATCATCTTCCAATCAGAACAAAACTGAGTTTCAGACGCATCTAACCGGGGCCCTCAGTTGTCATCTCTATTTGAAAACACTTTCCATTGAACTTCTTGGGGGGTCAGTTTTGCCGTCTGATGATTTCCTCCTGAGTTCTGTCCTTAAATTGTAAGCTCGTCTTCAGTGAGTGTGTCTACGGGAACTGTGTACACCTGGGTGTGTCTACGGGAACTGTGTACACCTGGGTTGGCTACGGGAACTGTGTACACCTGGGTGTGTCTACGGGAACTGTGTACACCTGGGTTGGCTACGGGAACTGTGTACACCTGGGTGTGTCTACGGGAACTGTGTACACCTGGGTTGGCTACGGGAACTGTGTACACCTGGGCTGGCTACGGGAACTGTGTACACCTGGGTGTGTCTACGGGAACTGTGTACACCTGGGCTGGCTACGGGAACTGTGTACACCTGGGTGTGTCTACGGGAACTGTGTACACCTGGGCTGGCTACGGGAACTGTGTACACCTGGGTGTGTCTACGGGAACTGTGTACACCTGGGTTGGCTACGGGAACTGTGTACACCTGGGCTGGCTACGGGAACTGTGTACACCTGGGTTGGCTACGGGAACTGTGTACACCTGGGTTGGCTACGGGAACTGTGTACACCTGGGCTGGCTACGGGAACTGTGTACACCTGGGTTGGCTACGGGAACTGTGTACACCTGGGCTGGCGGCACAGCCCTTGCGGGGTTTGCGTTTGCCTCGCCAGACCTCCAGGTGGTCCAGGGCCAAGTTTTACGAGGGAGCTTTCGGGACCAGGCAGACTGTATAAACTTGAACCTCAAAACTCGTACAAGTGCACACCTGCAATTACAAATTCTTAGGAAGGTTTTTTTTTTTCCCCCTGAAGATCATGTCAAACCAAGTTTTTTTTTCTATCTCCCTGAACTAGTAGGTGATATTTAAAAACAAAACAAAACACCTAAGTTTCATTGATTTATATGTCAGTGAAACTGAACCCCACCTTTATGCAGAGGTTTCCCTCTAATCCCTATCCTGACCAGCTCACGCCTCCTTCCCCGTCCTGCACAGACACCGGGAGCTCAGCCTGTGGCCAAGGCCAGCAGCGGCTCTCTGCACAGGCCTGGGCTGCACAGCCTCCTCTCCGACGCTCACGGCTATGATTTTGAGTCCCCCCTGCATTCCTTAAGTGAGCGGTTCCTTTACTTTCTTGCGAGTTTGGTTATGCATGTAAAATAGTCTTTATTCAACGCTATCCATGAGTTCTAGGTGTTTGATAGCTAGGAAACTTTTCAGATTATCTGGTCTACCCCAATGCTAGAAACCTAAGTCTGCCTCTGCAGTTTACAAAATAGGCTGGAACCCAGAGACGGAAAGTGAGCTGCCCGAGGCCACACAGCATGTTTGAGACGTACCGAGGCCTAGGCCCCAGGCCTCTTGGTCAGTCTCTCTCTCCTTCAGGGAACAAAGAAAGATGTGGCTCCGTCTTGAACTCCAGCAGCCGTGGGCATGCTCTAACCCCCTCCCACTGCGACGAGTCTGTCCGGGGGCTGATGAGGCAGGGAGGGCAGGGTTTCTGTTTCCAGTGACTGGGACTAGGGGCTGCAGGCGGGGACAGCCGAGAGCAGGGACAGGCAGGGTTCAGGGGAGGCTGGCACACTCACGCTTCCTGGAGCTCGGCTGTAGCTCTTCCACGCGGTACACGGAGAGCCGGCCGAGGCCCCCGCACACGGAGCCCTTCTCGCCCTTGCACTCCTGTTTACACTCCTCGGGCCCCACGCTGGTTGCCGGGAGCCGGTTCCCGCAGTAGCACTCCGCCCCGGCCTCCAAGCCAGCGTAGACGTAGGACCTGCAGGGAAAGGAGGGCCTGGGGTAAGCTGCCCTGGGCCCAGACCTACAGCCCAGGTCCTCCCAGCACTCAGGTCCGGATCAGGGGACAGCTGGTCTGGGGCCAGGCTGAGCGCTGGGCTTGACGCTGGGGTTAGGTCTGGGTGAGGAGGCAGGGGCCACGGCCATCAGCATGTGGGTGGCCTCAGGGCTCAGGCTCAGCCAGACTGAAGGGGTCGCCTGCCTAGGTTTCGGGAACAGTCTTTCCTTTGTGACAAGCTCATTGAATCAGCCCCATTGGTTCCTCTCGTCAGGCCTGAGCGTGGTCCCCTAAGGTGCTAGCCATGGTAACAGGCTGCGACGGAGCCACGCAGTGGTGTGCTGGAAACTCGCTCTCCGGATGGGAGGGAAGGAGCCCTAATTGGTGGCTTTTGCTAATTTCTGTAGATGATTTCAAGCTAGCAATGGTTTAGTAACAGGCTTACAACATTTCTAAAAATTCAGCTGTTTGCTCTCGTGCACCAGCCATAAGCAGGCTCCAGGACACACCTGTCCAAATCGCCTCCACGTGTTGCAAACAGGCCCTGCTGCAAGACCCCTCCCCCAAGGACGCTCTGACCCGCCTCTCCCCCGCTGTGACGCTGCAGGTACAGAAACACAGCGAATGGAACCAGCATCATATCACACAGGATTTTAACCGTGAAAAATGGTCACAATACACTGAAAACCCAAACACAAGCTCCTAACCCTCGTTCGACACTTTGCCGGCTGTGTGACCCTGACTGTCCCTTACCACCTCAGCCTGTTTCCTTGACTGTCAGGAGGATAAAACAAGATGTGTCAGTCTCGCTTTTCGCTTTGTCTGGACTGGAGAACACACGTGACAGGGGCCCTGTCCTTCCCTTCTCTGGCCTGTCTCTCCACCTATAAAATGGGCATCATTAGTTGTTACCTAGCAGAAGACGGTGAGGATTTATGACACAACAAACATGAAAGAATCGAATGGGGTTGAAATAAATCAAGAGCCCCCCGCACGCGCGCACACACACAGTGAACTGCGAGAGCCTTGACGGTGGGGACCGTTCCCTGGCACACGACTAGAGTCCGGCGATACTGGGTGAGCTGGGAGTAGCAGAAAGATCAAATCTTCTCTGAGACACCGACTCTTCTGACGGAACTAGAAAGGTCTTCAGAGGAATATGGGTTAAACCCCTTTATTCTGTTTTAAACAGACAAGTAAACTGAGGCCCAGGAGAGGAAGGGGACGAAGAGCTGAGTCACAGGATGAGACCCTGGCACAGCTGGACTGAACCTGGTCTCCTAACACCAGCCCGGGGCTCTTTCACAACCTCCTCATCAGGAAACTGTCTTTCTTCGGGCCTGGGATCCGATCAACCGAGCTCTCATTGTCACGCTCTGACAGCCAACAGGGCACCCCCTCCTTCCGGGGAACGTCTCCCGACCTTCCTTCCGGTGGAGTCGAGGGTCTGGGCCCACACTTACCGCTCAGCGCAGGCGTCCTGGCAGTGGGAGACGGTCATCTTTCTCAAGTCAAAAAACACAGTGCCCTTCAGAGTCCTCTCCTGGCCATCGTCACTGAAGCAGCCCACATAGGTGCCTGCAGGCAGAGAAGCACAGAGGACTCAGGCCCTGCAATGCCAAGGCCACCTCCAGCCCTCCCTGGCCCAGGGGACCTGTCCGAGAAGCCCAAGGGATGAGGCTGGTCCAGCCTTCCCTGCAGTGTTTCGGGACACTTCCACCCTGTTCCCTTCCTGCCCCTCCTCTTGGTTAGTGGCCCACTGTCTCCCTAGACACCCGGCCAGGACCCTGCTGTCAGTCTGAACACCACCTTCTTCTCCCACAACTCAGCAAGTCAAGCACCTCCCCTGGGTCCCCTCTTGCCCACCCCTACCCTTCCTAGGCTCGGGGAGGCCTCTCTCCCTCCACAAATGTCCCCGATGGGCAGCTGCTGTCACCTCCTTGTAATCTGGAGGATATTAGAAACTCTGATTTTAGATAATATCAACAACACCTTGCAAATAGATAAAGCTATTTCAAGGAAAAAAATCTGCCGTCCCAGGAGAGAGCAAGACCCCATCACTGGAGGTGTGTAAACAGTCGATTAGTGTGTAAGAGAGCTGCCCCATGGGGGACTCAACAGGACCAAGGGACTGTTGGGTCCTCGCCAGTCCAGCCCTTTCTGGCATGTCCCTGGAGGGAGGACATGACCCACAGGGCAGCAGCAGTGCTGGCCCAAGAGAGGGCGGCATCTTGCCTCCTTCCAGGAATGAGCCCCTGGAGAGTCATCAGTGCACACGTGGCCACACCCAGCGTCCATCCATCGGCACACGCTGCACCCCTGCACTCAGGACTCCCAGACCCCCAGGCCCTAGAAGCTTTCCTCTTTCTTCATGTAAAGTCTCAGGACCACCGAGACCAGAATGGACCACTGCAGAAAGATTTCACCCAGGTCAGCGAGAATTAACTTCTCTCCTTAGCCTGCCTGCTTCGTAAAAGGAAACTCATATTTCAGAAATTTCTCATGTGCTGCTCAGCAAAGAAGCAATTCTATTACAGCTTTCAATTAAACATCCAAAAGCTCAGGGGTTGTTAAACATTTATCACTGTTGGTGAGAAATTAACCTAAAGGTTGTAAAGGTGCCCGGGCTCCAGACCCCTGAAGACTGAGAAGGGCACATACATGTTTCCGGGGGAGGGGGAAATAGGTTTGGGGAATGGGCAGACTTAGGTTCAAATCCAGCCTCCACCGTTATCTGCTTGTACGACCTGGCATGTGCAGCTGCCTCTCGCTGAGCCTCAGCTTTCCCACCTGTGAAATGGGGCTATGCCCCCATGGAATTCATGGGGCGGTGGTGAGAATTCCACGACACACAGAAAGTGTCTAATGCAAGGCGTGGCTTGTCGGGCGGGCTCAGCCGTGACTGCTTCTATTGCTAATATATCATTATTAACAATAAACATTTAAAAATTACTTGACTTCCCCGAAACTCAAATTCTTCATCATTAAAATGATGATTGTGCCATGTACACATAAGGCGGCTCAGAATTAAATGAGATAACAGATGTACAGCTACACCGAACAATGCCTGGCCATTAACAGATGTTCGGATAAATAACAGCTATTAGCATTCTGATCCAACACTCTAACCTGGGACCTGGTGTAATGACGGATCAGTAAATATCGGCTGAATAATGAACACATTCGTAAAAGAGAGACACAAATGGTTCCACGCAGTCAGGCGCAGGTTCTTTGGAACACAAGGAGTGGCCGGCCAGTCTGCAGCTGCCCCTCTGTTGGGAATGACCAGTCCGAAGGGGAAGTCCACGCCTGCTCGGCCCTGGCTCGGTTTGTAGCAGGGGCCTGAGACACAGATGGCCCACCTCCCTGCTTGTGAGGAGGAGGTGAGCCCTTTCTTCTGGAAAAATAATGCGTGGCTTTTCGAGGCGAGAAAGTACAGAAAGGACTTCCGAGAGATGCGCTGGGACACATTCCGAGGCGGATTTATTACTTTCGGCTGAAACTGAGGCGATGCATTATTGTCTGCGATCCCACATCTGTTCATTTGCACATCAAAATGGACATGCTGTGAGGCTATTAATGATGGCTTTGGAGATATTGGAATGTCTTCGGAAATTACTATCAATAAAAAACAAACTGGCTATGGAGAAGTTACTATTTTTCCCCTAGTAAACTTACTGACATTTTATTCCATTATGGATGTTGTCCAAGGTATAATGAAATGCTCAGTGATTGATGGAGCCTCCTGCAGCTTCCTCGGCTGGCAGGATCCCTTTTCAGGGGGATGGCAGGCTGCCCGCGCCTCAAAGAGATGCCCTCTTTGTCTGCAGCCCCAGCAGCTGTCCCGAGGGCTGGACTGTGGACGACTCTCCACCCACGAGGCCTGCCTGGCTGTGCAGGGCCCCCAGGGCCCCCAGAGGGAAAGGGGGCTCCCAGAGCATTTTCAGGCCAGGGCCCTGCCTCTCCCCTCTTTCTCTGAAGATTTCCAGCCATGTGACACCACCGCCTCACCCAGAGTACAAAGTCTTCCTGAAATCTCGGGGGATAGTAAAAACCTTAACCTACGCGGGGTTACTGACCATTCAGAATTGCCACCATTCAACACTAGCACTGGACCCTGAAGTTCCTGCTGTACCAGGCACTAGGCCTCACTCGTGAGGAGGTTTGAGGGTCACGGGGGAGGGCAGCCAGAGTGTGCAAAGCACCCCAGGGGCACGGGGTAGTCACCGTTCCAATATTTAAGAACCAATGAGGCCACACTGGTGTGTAATGGTGACCCAACCACATTCCTTCAGCCTTCACTGGAGCCCTTCTTTCACTTTTGTAAGTCACCGAAGATGACTTAAAGGGGTACCCACTGGTTCTTCTGGACATACTGTACACCCAGGGCTATAACTAGGTCACCCTGAGCCCTCCCCTCTGCTGGCCCGTCACCCTGAAGTCAGGTTATAAAGAACTAGTCACCTCTAGTAAGCCCAAAGCCCTTTGCACAATGCCTCAATTATGCTCAATCATTTGGGTGCATATCTGATTCTGTCACCAGACCGAGATCCTGAAGTGCATGGTGAATAGCATATGTGGAGACCCAGGCATGAGTCCTCAATTCATGTAGACTGACAACAATAAAGACAGGAATTGCGGCTCATTTAGCCATGGTCACAGAGCCCAGAACTGGCAATGCCAAGACAGGAACTCAGGACTGTTCTCAAAACTTGTGCTCCGTCTATGGCTTTCTCTCAAAAAATCCATGTTGACCTTGTCAATCATTTACACTTTAGTCTAAATAAGTCGCACTGGTGCAACCTGCATAGGGACCCAGTTTCTGAGTATGTTGAGGAGAGTTTACAGAAATCATACCTGCATAAAATGAGCTACAGAATCAGTTCCTCACTTCTCCCTCATTTCTCCCATGAAAGCCTTGCTGAGGAACCCCACAGTGAGGGTTTTGACCTAGAAGATTTTAGAAGAAACTTCCTTCCATGCAGACGACAATGCACAGTCCTCCAGTCTACTTTTACTGAGCCACTAGGGTCACCCTTCTAAGGTGAGGGAAGCTTGAGTGCCTTTCTCTTCCCTGAAACCTTCTCACTGTCCTCAGAATAAAGTCATATTCCCAGGTCTGGCCCTCACAGCCCTCCCTGACCCGGGCCGATAACCTTCTCGCCTCATATCTTTCTATATCTGGCTCTATTCTCCAGCCACACTTTCTATAGTTAAGAGAGAAATGCCCCCTGTGACTGAGGATACAGGAACAATTGGGGTGGATGACAGGGACGCCGAGATGCTGATTGAGCTGTCACCACCCCACAACAGCTGTGACATTTTCTGGGTTTTCATCACATGTAGGCTCCATTACTGGGCCCCACACAGAGACTGTATAACTTAGGGCAGAGCCCCAACGTGAAGCCAGGCTGTCCCCATGTTGGAGTCTCAGCAGTGTGACTGTGGTGGGTCTGATCAGTGCCCGCCCATGTCCCCCAGGCCTCACTGCTTCCACGCTGCACCCTGAGATGCATGCTCTACCCTCTCCTGAGTCCCCACCTGCTCCAGAACACACCTTGTATTGGCTGTCTTCTCTTCTTGCTCCCTAACAGTGTTCCTGGGATCACATCCCAAACATACCACGTGCATTGGAATTTTGGTTTCAGGGTTTGCTTCTAGGAATGCAAACTAAGAGAATGCCCTTGGGAATTAATGTCTTTGTGACTCAGTTTCTTCATCTGTAATATTGGAATCTAATCACAGTACCAGTAAACAGCACATTTACAGGAACATAGTAAATGCCATATGAGTTCGCTATTTTTATTAAATAATAATAGCTGCCAGTTACTGAATGCCAAACAATACACAAGGTCCTCCAGCCCAGGGCCCTCAGCGGAGGCATACTTCAGAAACCCCGGGAGAGCGTGACTGCCCGGTCTGCGGCTCCTGCCCCACGGTTCAGGGCTAAGCGAGTCTGGGAGACCCTGACTCTGTACTTGGAACCAGCTCCCCGGGGATGCTGAAGCTGCTGGTCTGGGACCCCACCTTGAGAACCCCTGCGCTACAGGTTCACATTTAATCCTTACACTAACCCACGGGTAGGGATCTCTATCTCCATTCCAGAGGGACCTAGAGAACTTCAACCACATGCTCAAGGTTACCCAACAAGTTTGTGACTAAACCAAGATTCAAGATGAGGACTGTCTGAACCCAAAGCCTGAGCTCGAAGTAACCGGCTCACACCTCCAGACCGTGGCCATGTGGAAGTCCAGCTGCTGAGTGAGCAAAACTCCTAAAGGCGTCACATCACCGGCCCTTCCCGCGTGGTGCAGAGCAGGAAAGGAGGCACGACTTGTGGAGGCCATGGGCCTGCAGAGCCTACTTCTCAGGCTACTCAAGGGCCAGAGAAAGGATCCCGTGACCCTGAGCAGGCTCCTGAGAGCAGTTCCCAAACATGCCAGGGGAACCAGGGCTGGGCACCTACCTCGGCTGCTGGCCGCTGGCCTGGGGGCCTCAGGGCCCAGGGCGGGCAGCCCCCGGGGGTCACCCATGAAGTGGTGGAACCAGCGGCGCCGCAGCTGGCGCAGCTCAGAGTTGCGGCTCCGGAGCCAGCGGGGGCCAGGCCGGGGCCGGGCCAGGGGGCTCTGCAGCATGTCCACGCCGAGCAGCAGCTCTGGGCTGACACGGGGGTCCTGCAGGGCTCTGCTATCCAGCAGGCCCACGCCCAGCGCCATGGCGGCCACGGGTAAGGCCTGCAGGGAGCCTGGTGCCCGAGGACCCTGTGGCAGGGCCACTCGGGCCCGCTGCAGCAGCAGCAGGCTGCCGGTCATCAAGTAGGCGGCCGTGAGGAAGAACAGCAGGAACTGCGTCCGGCGGAGAAACTTCTGGAGTCGGAAGAAAGGTTTGGCCATGCCCCTGGGCGGCAGGGCTCCTGGCTGGAACCTGGGCACGGCTCCTAGCACCCGGGTGGGAGGGAGGCCTGGGCCCCCGGAGGCGTCATCTCCACATTCTGGAGCCAGCCTGTGCTCTCCCGGGGTTACCGTTCCTCCTGCCCCGTCTCCAGCAGGTGCTCAGACGGCACCGTCGCTTCTCCCCGGCCCCTGGGGCTGTGGCTGCAGCTTCTCCCTCAGAGTCACGACCTTCGCCATCCCTGAGCTCTGCCGACCCTCCTCTTCCGGCTCAGAAACCTGGAAAAGCAGAGAAAACGCACTTCAATGAAACAGGAGGGCCCACCACTCCCACTTCCCCAAGGTCAGGAGCCCCTCACTGCTGACTGTTTTTACCAAAGGGGCTGGCCGTGTTGAGGAGCACTGGACAGAGAGCTGGGTTCAAACCTCAGCTCTGCCACTGGCCAGCAGTGTGACATGGAGCAAGTTACTTAACTTCCTGGGCCTCAGCTTCCTCACCTGTAAAATGGGAACAACACTGTCCCGAGCAGTAGTGAGGACGCAGTATGGACAGCGACATGGAAGAGGGAGAGGTGTCAGACACTCGGGTAAACGCTTCATGTATGATCTCACTTATTCCTCCCACCAGTCCAGTGAGGGGGTTACTGCAACCCCACACTACAGACTAAGAAACTGGGACAAAAGGCCAAGAAACTTTCCCCAGAGGATCCCGGGTCTGTACTCAGAGGCCCTGCGCTGAACTGCACAGAGCCCCGCCCACAACGAAGCCCGCCCACCGCGAGGCCCCGCCCACAACGAGACCCGCCCACAACGAGACCCCGCCCACAACGAGACCCCGCCACATGTAAGTGCACCTGGTCCACAGCTTCAGTATACAGCAGGTGCTCAATACAAGGGTGCAATCTGCCAACCCCCAGGGGCACACTGCGACTGCAGGCTGGGTTTTGGAAACTGCTCCGCAGAGACTGGTCAGTTTTTAACACCGGAGTGGGTAGGGGGAGGGAGAGAACTTGCCGTCATCCGGGCTTCCTGAAGGCTACAGGCCAAAGGGACAGGACAGCCCAAGGCCCTGCGCCTGCGAGGGGGCGCGGGGCTGGGCACCTGATGTACAGAAGGGGGAAGGGCTCTCAGAGCAGCCTTCCAGGGACTCTCCTCTCCCCAGCACTCGGCTCTCACACTGAGCTTTGTCCCCCCTGGGGCGGCCTCTGAGGTGTGCTGTCAGGGACTGACAGGGGTCTGCAGCTGCCTGGAGCTGGGCTGCAGCATGAGGAAGGCCCACAGCACAAGGACAGGCTTGTCCCAAGAAGAAAGGCTCCGAGAAGCGTGACCAAGCCGCTGCCCGTAACTAACATGGCCTGGGAGCCCCGCCAGACCCGGGCAGCCCCTCAATGGCTGCTCTGTGCCCTGGGAACAGCCGGCCGGGTGTGAGGGGAAAGACAATGTTTGGGCTCTGTGGCCTGGCATTCCAGGGGTGAGGATTCAGAGGCGCCCGGACCAGCACGACCCTTTCTAGTCGAGCGCTGATAGCTGCCAGGTTCTGAGGCCTCTGGGGAGGGCAGGGATCTGGGAATACAGGGCAGCTGGCCCAGCAGGCTGGAGCGGGGGTGGCAGGCTGCGTAATCAGCCAGTGAAGGTGGAATTAAACTCTGAGTCAGGAAGCCATTTCAGACTTTTATTTTCTCTCTTGGCTGGTGTGTGCCAGGCCCACCCCAGCCAGCCTCATCAGATTTGTAAAACCACAGAGAAAATCCCAAGAAATCCTGACTGATCTCCCTGTCTCCAGCTCTGGCCCCTCCGATCCATCCTCCACAGGGCTGCCAGGGTGATCTTCCTAACACGCAAATCTGATCACAGCACTCCCCTGCTTAAAACTCCTTTCAATAGCTCTCCGTGGCTTTGGGGATAAACTCCAAGCTCCTTAGCACAACACGCAAGGCCCCTCCATGATCCAACCCCTCTAGCTCATCTCTTACCAGGCCCTTTCCTTCGGCCTCCCCATCATGCAGCCATGCACGTGTGTGCACACAGACACACACACCGACACACACACCATGGTCCAGCACGACCACCGCAGCATCTCTGTCTTGGTGCCTTTGTACACACCGCCTTTTAGGTCTTTCCCTCCTTCTTTATCTAATGAATCTCTGTGCCGCCTCCAAGCCTCAGCGCAGGTGTTACTTCCTACGAGCAGCTTTCCCTGACCACCACCCAGCCACTGGGATACATTCCTCAGTATTCCCACAGCCCACGGCTGACCCCTACCCCAGTACTCACATCCTGGGATGATTTTATATCCACCTGCTTGTCAGTCATCCTGGCAGGGCTGTGACTGACTCAGGCTAGAGGTCACACCCTATTCATGTTGGTAACTCTGGCCTCCAGCATGAAGCCTGGCAGTACAGATGCTCAGAGATCTTCGGTTCTCAATCTATTTATTGACATGAATGATAAGGTAAATTGACAGGCAGATCCTGGTATCAGAAACCTGCTCGCGTGGGGTTTTACGGCAAGGCAACCTCGAGCTGCGTTTATCCAGAGCCGGGGAGCGTGGCCTGAGAAGCAGAGGACGTGGAGCCATGCATGAGCTCGCTTGCAGAAGGCAGCTCCACCGGGAGGCCTTTCAGACCCTGGGAGCGGACGAGGTGCCTGAGGTTTACGTGATCTTTTCTCTGCTGTAACTCCGTGAGGAGGCGTTTCCAGGTCTGCCCACAAAAGACTTCTGGTTACAAGACGAGGATTCTATCAGCAAAAAAATCCTATAAAATTCAAATAAAAGGGGGGAAGGAAGGACTCCTGCTATGGAAAGGAAGGGCCTGATAAGATAGAGCAGAAATGCGGGCAATGGGTTCACAGTTCAGAACTCTGAAGATGTGGGTGGATCCCATGTACATTTTATATACAGGATTTGGACACGAGCTACAAGTCAGGGTGGGGTACAGTGGGAGGGGCATGGTCAGGGCTACAGTTAGAATTCTACTGATCACACCCAAGTTCCCCAAGGCCTTCCAAAGACCTCTCTGGGGCTCTCCCCTTCCCAGAGGGGCTGCCCCTGGTCTGGGGAGGTGGGAACTGAGTGTGAAGGCAGGGGTCAGCCACTTTAAGGCCAGAGCTCCATGACCCAGGCCTCCTATAAAGCAGGCTGCCACTCCAAACTTTTAAAATCACAAAGCCAATTCCCAGCCCAGGACACCTGCGGGGCCTGCGTGGGGGGCCTGCGTGTTCAAAGCATGCAGGAACTTGTCCCCTGCCCTGGACTTCTGCCACGCTTCTCCACCAATATTATTTTTGCCAATCACCCCCACTCTCTGCCATGCCCACCTCTCCTCCCGGTTGGCAGGCCCTCTAGGGTACAGATCACATGATTTATCGCCACGTCCCCAGATCCCAGCACGCAGGGTTGGCAGCTGTCTGTTGAGTGACTGGACCTGAAGAAGGGCTGGGTGGTGGGAGCATCTTTAAAGGGCGCACAGCCAGCTACGAGGATAGTCCTACAGCAGAACGCGCCAATACCGGGGGGATATCTAGCCGCTGCCTGAATGCACTGGGCCTGGGAGCCCATCAGCTGTGCCCACTGAGCCCCCAAACCAGGGGGTCTCTCCATGAAAGCAAATCCACCTTGGGAAAATCACCGCCTAGGGCAGAGCCTCAGGCTCCTCATCTGTTAAATGGGGGTACATTGCATTGCTGTGGGGTTGAATCAGGGAGTAAAACTTCTATTGCCTACTAACCATGGCAAACATGGGTTACGAATGCAAAGAGGCAAACAAGGAAAAGTCAGAGGCTCGCAGTGGCCGTGTCACGGGGAAATCAGTTACCTTCTTCACCTCCTCTTAGTCCCCCATGCCCTGGGGTGTGCCTAGTATCCCCTTCTTACTTGAAGGGGGTCCTGTGCCAAGACAGCTATTCATAATTGCCTTATTTCTCCACGACGCCATTTACTGAGCACCTGCAGTGTTAATACATGGGCTAGACTGCGCTGGACACCGTACCTGCGCCGTCTCGTTCACTCCACACATCCCACCGAGGCAGACGCCTGACTACGCTCGCTGAGAGCCGAGGTCTGTGCAGCCGGCTGGGTGAAGTGCACTGCCCAAGGTCAGACACACCAGGCCCGCACGCAGACGCAGGCCGCCGGCCTCAGAGCCCACCCCGTGCCCGCTGAGCTCCCTGCTCTCTCCCCACACCAGCTCTGGCTTCGCACCGGCAAGATTGATCCCCGAAAGGAGTAGACTGTGCCTCCGTCAGCACCTTTGTGAAAGTGTCAGGCCAAGGCTGCTGGAGATGGTGCTGCACATGGCGGCGTCGGGTCAAACCCCAGACACTGCCACGCAGCCAGGGTGCCAGTCCCCGCGGCCTCCCCTTCCAGAAGTCTGCACCACTCTTCCCTAAGCCGTGCTTCCCAGGGGGACAGTGGGGAGGCTCCAGCCTGCCTGAGGCTCAGGCCTGTGGGAGGGGTGCCGGGCTGAGTGCAGTTTCGGGCTGGATAGAGCTGGGCACCCTCTGCCATGCCCAGCGGCCTTCTAGAGTCCAAGTGTCACCCCAGAGGAGGGCAGGGCCTTGGGGACGGAGACCCTGAGTTCCCTCTCAGGAATGAGAGGAGAGTAACAGGACAAAGGGGCTGCTGGGGGTCTCAGGGAGGGAGCAAGAGGCTAGCTCAGGCGGGGATCGCACAGCCTGAGCCCTCTTCTGTTCCATTGTTGTTATCTGGGTCCCAGGCAGATGCTGAACATAAAGGAGAGGGTACTGGGCCGATGGCACCTGCCTCTCCTAGGTTTAGGGGTCTGAGAAACTGAGCAGGTGAGGGGTGGCAGCAGCGGGGGGGGGGGGGAAGGACAGGACAGGGGGCAGTCCCAGGGGGCCTGGAGCTGGAGGAGCTCACACCTGGCCCAGGCTTGACCAGCGGCCACTGGGTTTCAGTCACATCATTCTGCCTCCCCACCACCCCCCGGCCAGAGAGGACAAGCAGGGGCAGGTGAGGGGAGAATGACTCCCAACAACCCAGAAGCATCTCAGCCACTGTGACCACAGCAACAGGAGGCTGTGACCCCCGAGGGATTCAGAGCCAGGAGCTTAGTGAAGTGGGAGCCCTAAAGACAAAGGAACAGGGCCCAGCATGTCGCTCTCCAGACAGGGAGATGGGTGCTCTGAGCCCCAGCCTCTATGCCTGGCAGCCAGGGGGGACTCAGTCTTAGGATCCCACAAAACCACACCAGGGAGCCTTCAGCTGGGCTCGGCATTCTGAATTAAAGTCCCCCCCCATCTTTTCCTACCATACCAAAGCCTGCCTCTGCCCTTCTGGGGCTCAGTGCCTGTCATCTGCACCCTACCCACCTCCAATAGGTTGGCCACCCCCAGTAGCTTAAGAAAGTGATCTTTCTAACACAAGAACTAATGCTGCGGCCTGCTATAGCTTTGCAGGACTCACAGGGCCAAGTGTCAGCTCCTCAGCCTGGCATTCAGTGGCCCTTCTTGGCTCGGTCCCCCAACCCCTTCCTTTCGCCACTGCTTCCAGAATGCACTCTCCCAACCAGTGTGCCCTGGCCAGCATGAGGTGCTCTGCGCCCCCCTCATATAGGTTCTTCCATCGGCCGTGGATGCCTGTGCCCTGTCCCATGGCTCTGAAATGCACTGTGGCCATAAATCAATGTGGCATCAGCTCCAATACCACCTCTTCCGTGATGCCCTCCTGATCCCTGGAACAGAGGTGCTCCCTAGCGCTAGACAGCAAGTTTGGATGCTCTGTGAATTGCTCCTGATCCTACCTGGAGTCAAGACTCACTGCTACTCTGCCTACTTCTCCTCCCAGCCTGTGAGCCCCTTGGAGACATAGTCAGGGCCTCTGCCCACTTTCAAGTGGAACACAGGACAGGCACCCAGAAAATCTGTGCCCATTGGCCACCTTCCAATGCTCAGGGCCATGCCACCCTCAACCTGGGGTTCCACTCCTCTGGGTCTTGGAGACACAGAAACAGAAAAGGACCCATTAAATATAAGTCTGCTAGGCCTTGGGTGAGACATGGTCTGGGAAATGGGAGTGGGTTGGGGTCCCTAACTTTAAAGAGGCAAATCTTTGATCTTCTGAACTTAAGAAGAAAGGTCCAAAATAAGAAATGTTGCTAAAAAGGTATAAAATATAATGGTAAGGTCGAAACTCCATTCAGTGCAAAAGAGAGGGGCTCCTCCATCCACCCTACTGCTGAAGTTCATCTAAATAAGAATAAATTCTTCTATACCACATTAGAAATTGCAAGGTAGTTCCACACCCTATCAAGCGCGTTGAACAAATGAACAGCTCAACAAACAAATGAGTGATTGTCCCATAAACTTGTGAAGTCAAAATCATTATCATCCCCATTGTATAGACGCAGTATTTGAGGCAGAAAGAGGGTCAGTTAAAATGGGCAAAGACAAATACTATTGCTAGCCTGAACCCATGTTTTCTGATTCTAAGTTTGTGGTTTCTTCTACTATCACATGGCCTTCATTTGTTCAACACCAGAGATGTAGGTTCTTCCAGGCACCGTGCTAGGGGCCAGGGCTGCAAAGAAAGACAGAATACCACTGTGAGGGCTGGTGTTTTCCCTTTTCACTCAGTTGATCTGGAGCTCAGCCCTCTCTTGAAGCAGCCAATCACAACCTCTTCTGGGCTCTCTCTGGGTCACCTCTTTCATAGAACCCTATTGTGTTCATTTGTTCATATGTTTCTCCTACTCAGTGGTGCACTCTTGCAAGCTGCCTAGATCCCATTGAGCAACCTGCGCAAATCTGGGCAAGTGAGTGAAGTACCCACCCAAAGTCAGCCTGGCCCTCCCTGGCTCTCTGCCTGCTGTGCCTGCAGTCACTGGGACAAGGGACTCATGAGATGGGCGGGGAAGCAAGACACTTTTGCATTCCTATCATCAGGCCCTCCCTCTTAGCCCCCTCATGCCAAGATAGCCACCCTCTGGCTTCCAGCAGTAAGAGAAGAGAAGCAGAGTGGAGGGGAGAGACCTTAACAGCCACCAATAGGTGCACTGCATTTCATAGCTTACAATATCAATCTAGCCCATTCTTCCCTCCACTTCTCACACCCACACTGGGAGGCAGAGTTCCTCCCTAACCACATTCTCTAAAAGCTGCATATTTTCGATAATTTTGCCGGCATTGTGTCAGTATGGATTATTAAAGCCACGAGGAGAGATTAGAAGAAGCAGTGTGGACCAAGGAGAAGTTGGTCCAAGGCCATGGACGTGCGCTCAATCCGGCCCAGCTCTGCCCCTGCTGGTGGGTTTGATCAGTGTGCACATCTCACAGGTGAAGACCCTGAAGGCTTCAACACTGAGCTGCCACAAAGTCCTTGGCCTTGACCTCAGTGTAGCACCAGAGGGAGAGTCAGAGAATCCAGTCTCACCAAGACTGATGGGGATCTGAGACAGATGAGAGCACAGGCCAGGAGCGGCTACAAAGGAAAGCACCCATCCCCATTCCCTGGGGGCCCTACTCAGACATGATTCCATCTGGCTGGAGGTTCTGTGCCGCCCGAAAGGCACTTACTCCCCAGTGCTGGGCTGGAACTGACTCAGCTGGAGGCTCAGGCTTTAGCAGCCGACCAACTGGTGGCCCAGAATATCCACTTCTGCCTGGTTAAGCAGACAGGAGGGAAGGGACGGGGATCTGGCCTTCTGCCTAATCCAGGCTTCTTTCCACTTCCAGCCAGGTATGCTGCAGGCCACAGAACAGCACTCCACAGGAGGCTAACACCCACTAAAACCCCCAAATAAGGCACTACTCCTTCCATGTGGAAATGGTCCTTCTGAGGACAGGAGGATGCAGCAGCAGGTGAGGACCCAGGGGACAGACCCTCCTGGAGAAGATGCAGCTGCCAGGCTCAGCCCACCAGCCCAGCTGCCCAGCCCACCAAGGAGCTCCTTTAACAAGTGTGCTTGGGAGACCAACACATCCTCCCACAAAACAGCTCAGCTGCTCCTCCTTGTAGAACCTCTGGGCTCTGGGGACCCACCAGGGCACCTTCTCCACAAGACATCTGAGGGCCAAGCTAGGAGTGTATGAGGTAGTGGGAAACATAATTGAGAGACATCTCCCCCAGCCCTCTCTCCAGCACCTGCAAGCATCAGGCAGGGGCTGCGGCAGACGGGGCAGGACCAGCCAGCTTTCTGCCTCCTCTGTTCCACTCCCTGCCAGCCCTCACTTTCTGTACTTAATAACCTAGGCAATTCAGAGAAGAAAAGAAAAAGCCCCCATCTCCTGATCTGAACCATGGCATGGTGGCCCAACCTGGGACAATCTATGTGCCTCCAGAAACAGAAGCATACTGTCTTGGCGACAAGAGGGACGACATGAAGGACCATGGCATCTAACGCTGTTAGAAAAGTACAGTGGAGTTCCGAGTCTGTCCATCTTGGGAGCAGCTAGGGACCCGGCGAGTTTGGGCAGCAGCTGGATCGCAGGGCAGGGTTGTGGGGGCTGGAACCCTTGCACTCATCCTTCCCACAGTTCAGGGCAGCAAAGCCACAGGGGTTCCCTCTCTGCCCCCGCCTCCTCAGGGGGGAGCCAGCACCGGAGCTGGCATTATCTGAGGGTACAGATGCTCGGGAAAAGACAACCCCCAGGTTACCCAGAGGCAGGGTACTCGCGAAGGCGTCTCAGCATAAAAGAAAAACGCAATGAGCGGCCACCGGTCGTCAGTTTCCGTCCACACCCGCAAAGATGCAAAGCTATACTTGGGGTAGATATATCGGGACAAAATACACACATTTCGCTTTAGCCTCTGCCTCTGCTCAAGTTCACCAAGAGCTGGAGAAAACCCTCCGCTGACCGGAAGCCTGGCTTGGTAGCTGAACGAGAGGGAGCTGCTGCTGGGTAAACGTCTTTTCCTAGGAGAGGCAGTGCGCACCCCAAATCGTGTCTTCGCCCCCCTCCCGGGTACCTGATCCGTGGCTCATCCGGGGAAACGAACGGTCTCGTAGTACTCGAGGAGGGGGAATCGGCTGCAGCCACTGCCTCCGCACCCGCGCCAGCCCGGTCTTGCCGGAGCGCTCCCCGCCGCGCGCACACTCACACTCCCCGCCCCCGAAAGGCGCCCCCCGCCAGCCCGCCCGGAAGCCAGAGCAGGTGCAGTCCCACCGCGATCCCGGCCGCGTCTGCACAAACTTGTTCGCCGGCCGGCCAGGGAAAACCCTGCCCGCAGCCTGCAGCCCGCAGCCTGCAGCTGCAGCCTGCGCGGGCGTCCCGGCCGGGCATGGAGACAGGACTCACCAGCGATCGCGGCCGGCCGGGGCGCCCGCGCTGGCGGCCACGCGCCCGCCTCCCCGGGGCGGCGAGCCCGCAGCCCTGCAGTGCCCGGACCGAGCGCCCCTGGTGCCCGCACGCCCCCGGGGGATCCGCGGCGAGCGGCCTGACGCAGCCCGGGCACAGGGCGCCGCTGCTGGGCTCCTCGGGGCTGCGGACGTCTGGGCTGAGCTGCGGCGGCAGAGCCAGCGGGCGCCGAGCGGGCGGCGGGCGGCGGGCGGCGGGCAGCGGGCGGGCGGGCGGCGGGCGAGCGGGCACCGGCTCTGCACATGCTCACTCGCGCGGCCTGGGGACAGCGGCCGGCCGCCGCCGGGTCCTAGAGGCGCCCGCGCCACCGCCCTCCTGCCTGCCCGTGGGAGGGGTCGTGGCTGGCGGAGTGGTGCCCACAACCTGCCCTGGCCCGCCAGCCCAGCCCACTGCGCGGCCGCGTGCCGAGCAACGACGCTGACACCCCAGTCTTGTTCACACATACACACATACATGCACACACAGCCTCACTCGCTGGAATACACACAACAGCAGAATGCATTGGCGCTCACACCCAGACACACTTAGACACTCACTGGGCACTGCCACAGAGGGGAGCACATTGCCACACTCACTCAGATGCACACACACAGGGACAGACGCACACTGTCTGATGCAAACACTCTGAGTCACTGCTTCACAGACTCGAACACGCGCGCACACACACTGAGCTCTGTCCCACTCACTCAGAAACATCCTGGGACACTGTGACAGGCACATATATACACACTGCCACACAGTTGTAGCACTGTGATACCATCCCACAGATGCACTTGGATCACTGTCCCATGCAGAGCTAGACACTGACGCCCCCACATCCTTATATACACATGCTGTCTGAAATAGTCGTTCAGGGAACCATTACCACCGACAACTACACTGACACTATCCCCTTGCCTACACACTCAGGGCCCTGCCACCAGCTGCCCCACTGCTCCACACCAACATAGTGACAGACCCTTGCCTTGATACAGCCATCCACAGAAGCAGTGCCACACACGAGTCCACTAACAGACACTTACACAGAGTCATACTGGGCATGGCCCACAGGCAGGCATATACTCCCCCACACACATACACACACTGAGATGGACAGGTGCTGGTACAGGCACACAGGTATACAACAAAACTGCTATATACACAATCCCCCCTTTAAAGTAAGGGTTGGACCTAAGCCTAAGGATTTCCCCTCCACAACCCACCCCTGCTCCTCAGAAATCCCCAAGCCACAGTGCCACCCCTGCCCTGCCAGGGCATCAGTGGGCCACGTCCTCACCCATGGCTGACTGCGAAGGTGCTCCAGGAGGCAGCGGACCGCAGAGGCTGTGGGAGCGTGGCGTGGCTCTAGCCCCGTCTTCCTGAAAGCAAGTTTCATGCCTCTGACTCCCGCTAGGGGCAGAGCTGCGTGGCAAGGCTCCGAGGAGCCTTTCAACAGGTGCTGGGCAGCAGGGAGAGGATTAACCTGGGGACCAGTGGGAGCCCCGCTTTCCTGTAGGTCAGTCAAATGGTACACAGAGAGAAAAGGCACTTGCTTACGTTCACACAGCTGGTCAGGCCAAGCACCAAGGTTAGAGGTCAGCTCCCTCATGGTGAACATGGGGAGCTCCCCGAACTAGCAAGGGCACAGGGCATAGACACGTCCTGTGCGGCCCCAGCATCCCTGGCTTGCAGAAGAGCCCCATACACATCCCTTGCAGAATGTGGATGTGTGCATTGCTATTATTATCAGCAATAATGACCACTGCACACTTTACAGTGCATTTGAATTTCAAAGCCCTCTCTGGGAACTGCTAGGCAAGGCCCAGAGCAAAATGAAAACGTTGAGTCCCTTGTTCAAGAATCATTAAGAATTTCAAGAGATAAGAGCAGAACATTAAAGCAGGTGTGGAGCCTTCCAGCAGGGGGCCCCGTGCCCCACACAGGTCTCATGCCTGTGAAGCTGGCCCTGGCCCTTCCGTGCCATTGCCGCACTTCAAATGCACAAGTGGGCTCAGGTGTCTTCATGGGCCTCAGGCTCACAATAAAACCCCATTGGGAACTCAAGCCCAGGTCCTCTGAGAGGCTTGTCCCTGCCCTGCAGCTACCGTTTGGGGTAGAGGATTGTAGCTGAGAAGTGAAGTGGCTGCCACAAGGGAGGACAGTTGTCTCAAGGAAAGAAGAAAAAAGCCTACAGGGCATCTGTGCCATTTCTGTGGCCAAAGCCATACTGCACCTGCTTTGCAAAGCCCTCCGGGGGTGCACCATACTGCCTGAGTGGGAGGCAGGTTGGAAGGAGCACCTGTTGACTCTGGGGAGAGATGCTGAGAAAGGAGGCGCATAAAAGCATCCAGAAAGTAGTTGAGAAGGGCTTGGGCCATGACAGCATTCAGATGGCCACGAGTATTTCAGAGTTGGGACGAGGCCCTCCTCTGTAACAATGTGACAGAGAAGGGGTATGAGGAGGCCACCTGGACCATGCCTGATAACAGAATCACTTCCAACCTCAGTCCAACTCTGCCATAGCTCTCTCTCTCTCTACATAGCTGGGGCTGTTTGATATGAGCTTGTACATCATCTCTGTCTGTATCCCAGAAGCAACTGTGGGAAGATATCTTAACATCACAGGGGGTCGTATGTTGGTCCCGCAACAGCGCTGGCACATGCGCAGTTAACGCTGAGTTAGGCACTCTCCCACCTCCCACTCTCCCACCTCCTCTGCAAGGCTGGGACTAGGAATCAGAACAGGCTGATCCCACTTCAATCCCAGTCCTGTGTTGGCTCTTGAGTCCATCTTCTCTCTTGTGGCTCCCAATGACTGGATCCCAAAAATTTACATTGCCTCCTAGCTTCGTGTCATGTGCTGGCTTCTCCATCTATCGGTCCATCCATCCATCCGTCCATCCGTCCATCCATCCATCCATCCATCCACTCATCCTATCATGGACTCACTGGTCAAGGCACCCATAAATTTTTTTTTCAACATTGGAGACCCTTTGAAAAGAAGAACCTGTCCCCTCATTGAGTTTCCAGTGTGGAGAACTGGACAAAGAAACGGAGCCAAAGTGATGACGTACCACAAACGGGAAGCTCTGCTACATCGGTTGGGATGCTTGCAGCTTCAGGCACATGGCCACTTGCTCAAATTGTACCTCTGTTTGCAAAGAAGAGTGTGATGGCTGTTGGGAAGGCAGCTAGCTGTGTGTGCCCTATATGTGCGTGGTGCACTGGAAATCAGAAGAGCTGCATTGTCATTTTGGAAACATTCAGGGAAGGCCTCATGGAGGAGGTGACATTTCTGCTGACTCTTGAAGAAGAAGTAGGCATCATCTGGGTCATAGGGAGCCAGGGCCATTCCAGCGCATCATATGTGAAGGTAGGAAAGCATGAACCACGCAGTGTATTAGGGAGATTGCCAGTAATTTGACATTGCTGGTGCAAGGTCAGGGGTGGTTGGAGAGAAGGCTGGACCGTTATTGGCTGCCTGAGCCCTCGTTCGTGTCACTGACATCAGTGGACACGGCAGGGCTGTAGATCAAGCCTGTGCCTCCACCACAGCAACCTCCCTCCACAGGGTGCTCACCTGGTCATCAGTCTTTGAAAAGTCACTGAACCAGTTACTGATTGTCCACCCCACATTTCTGCATCATGTTGTCAAGGGCAGCTGAGTTGTCACGGGCATTGGGGTGACAAGCCCAGGCAGGGGGTCGAATCCCAGTTCCATACCTCTCTCTCACCTCGAGCAAGTCATACTCTCTCTGAGCCTCAATGTCTTCGTCGGCAAATTAGAGAAAATGCACCCATTATTGGGTTCCCGACAGGATCAAATAAATGCCTCTTGAGTTCTTAGCAAACTGTCACAGAACGAGCACAAAGCACATTTAAAAAATAATTTTTTAATCCTCACCCGAGGATATTTTTTCCATGGAGTTTTAGAGAGTGGAAGGGAGGGAGATGGGGGGTGGGGGGAGAAACATTGATGTGAGAGAGACACATTGATCGGTTGTCTCCCGCACGCACCCCTACCGGGGCCGGGGATCAAACCTGTAGCCCAGGTATGTGCCCTTGTCCGGGAATTGAGCCCTCAACCTTTTGGTCTGTGGGTCAATGTTCTAACCACTGAGCAACATTGGCCAGGGCACATACACATTTTAGTAAATACATGAAGAGCTTTCTCCCAAGGCTTTGCTACGATTTAGAAATGCCACGGGTACAATGCTCTCTTGATCTAATAGGCCTTCTTATCTTCCAAATACCACCTCCCAAGAGAGGCCCCCCTATAGCCACCTCCCTGTCCAGTTCCCAGGCTGCAGAAGACATATCACCCCATCATTACCTTGTATATGTATTTGTTTACTGTCTGTCTTCTTCTCCCCGACCCTCACAGCTAGACTTTCAGCCCCCACCCAGCCAGGGACCTTTCTGTCTCATTCACAACTATACCCTTAGTGTCAGGCTTAATTCTTGGTCATAGTCATGCTCACTAAATTAAGTAAATAATTAATTGATTTTTTTAATGCAATGTGTTGAGTGTGATATATTTATTTATTTATTTATTTTATCCTCACCCGAGGACATTTTTGCACTTATCTTCAGATAGAGAGGGAGGGAGAGAGGGGGGAAGAGAGAGAGAGAGAAACATTGATGTGAAAGGGACACATCGAGTGGTTGGCACCCACACGACCCCAACCAGGGCCGGGGACAAACTACAACCGAGGTACGTGCCCTTGGCGGAACCCGAACCC